GGCAGGCGGTAATGGACTGTAGTTTCATAAACAAGGCTTAGTGTGATGTGAAAACCCTGTCCTGCAGCTTAAATATGCATTGCTTGAAAGGAGAGGGGCCATAGCTTAGTGGTAAAGAATATGCTGCACAGGCAAAAAAAAAAGGAAAAAAAAAGTCTTAGGGTTAGTATAAGGCAGCTTCCTATGTTCCTAAAAGGTAGAGAAGAGTTGTGTAAAGAAATCTGCAGGGAAGAAGAATATACTATTGGAAGTGGATTGGTTGGGGTTGTGGCTAAAGTAGAAATGGGTTGGTTATCTTAAAAAAGAAGAAGAAGATTTGGCTCTTAATATCTAAAGGACCTCTTTAGTGGACATAAACTTGTCCAACAGTTGACATCTGCTTTAGCAATGCCTTTCTCAGTGTCCCAGCTCATTACTAGCCAGATGGACTTTCCAGTGGGGATGGTGTTCAACTATGAAGCTCCATCCCTAGACGGTAGACTATTGACCCTGAATGAAGAAGGTCTCAGGTTCAGTTCCTGGCATCTGTAGGTAGGGCTGGGAGGGACTCCTGCCTAAATCCACAGGGAGCAGCTGCCAGTCACTGCACATAATATTCAACTAGATGGACCAATAGCTTGACTCAGTACAGAAGCGGACTTAGGGCAGTGTGACAGGTTCCCATGCAGTGAGCACTGAGCCAAAGGGGGGTGCTGCAGGGTGGCACAAATATGATGTAGTGAATGTGAAGAAGAGAAGCCAAGAGGTGGGAGGGTTTGCAAATTTTGCCTTCCCACAGGGTGATGCAGAAATTCAAAAGACCAAAATGCACCCCTGCTCAATATAAAGCTTATTTCTACATTTCCTCATTGGGCATCATCCTTACTGCTCTTAGCAGTGTCCTTTAATATACTTCCTGCTGCTTGCTGATGTTTGATTAATTTTTACAAAGTGGATTTTGACAAAAATTGTTTCATCTGCAACTTTCATGGCTTTCTTATTATATATTTTATGTGTTTTAGTTTGTTATCTTAAGCTGTCTTGAGGGCATCTGTGACAAGGTGGAACACAGATCTTTTTTTCCTTTTCCTTTTAAATGTAATGAATGTATGACTATACCCGACTTGAAATGACTGCACTCTGGATTGACTACATGGAATTGGCAGAAATGACTGGCAGAATCTGAGACCAGGGAGAAGAGTCGGTGAAAGAAGACTGGAAGAAATTTAAAGACTATTTACAGAAATATTGTAAAATTAATGAATCTTAGAAGGATGTTGGATAGAAACTAAGTGGTTTCCAGCTGTAATGCCTTAAGAGATACGAAAAAAGGTTCACAAATGGGTAAAAGCTTAATGGTAAGGATTTGCTGAACTAACAAACTGAACTGGAATACAAAAAGGGGAGGTACGAGGAGGTCCGGGGAAATAAGTGTAAGGAAGATATGCTATGGAAAATTAATGTGTTTTTAACTGTTTTTATTTTGTATGTTTCTTTTTATTTTTCATTTCTTTGTTATACCTTAAAAACTTTATTCTTTTTTCTGTATTTTGTATTTTCTTGTATTTTTACTTTTTGTTTTTGTGTAATTCTTGTATTCTTTGAAATTTTAATAAATATCATTTAAAAAAATAATGAAATGACTGCACTCTGACGCCACATACCTGTCACAAAACTTCTTTATTTTGTTTGGGAAAATTGGGCTGCAAAAATAGGCATGAACCTATGCAGACGATGCTAATTTCAACTTTCAAAGCCAGAAAGGGAAATGAGCAAGATTCCTAGCGGGCAAGGCTTTTTAAGCACCTTGGATAGCTCCGTATGACTGCAGAAATAGAAATAATTACACAAAATTTGCACACTGTGGCACAAAGGGCATTGCTATGCCTCATTTTTTTCTTAGCACAGTGCATAATAAGTATGGATTATGAGTTCACCTCTTGTCTCTTTTATCAGGAAGGCCAGAGATTAGGAGAGAGCTGTTGTTGCATCAGTGGAACAACTCAAGATGGAAGCTTGCATAGGAGCTGGTGGGTAAAGGCAATGGCAGATCTTGGCACCTCAAATTTCATGGGTCCCCCATGTGATGCCAGGAGTGAATTATGTAGGTTTGCCTTTAAGTTAGGACTGTATTGAATTTATCCCCCCGCATCTGTGTGGATGATAGATTATATTGGGTCTTATTGAGCATTCACAATGATTTGTTTGTAGGATGGTTATATAACAATGCACATTCATCTTGCATTAATCTCCATGTGCTAGTGGGGTATACATACACCCTCCCATTAATCATGTACCCCGTATTTTTCAACGTGTTTCCCCATCGCTTTCCAAACCACAAAGATACTGACTTCTTTATACAGAAATCATGCTCTGGCGGCATGGCGGCAGCAGGCGGCCCCATTAGCTAAAGTGGTGCTTCAGGTTAAGAACATTTTCAGGTTAAGAACGGACCTCCGGAACGAATTATGTACTTAACCCGAGGTACCACTGTAAAAATGGATCTGTTGCACAGGAGCAACATGGACCTTTCATCCACTTTCATTGCACAAACCTCAAGGTCTGGGATGAACCTGAATCTCACCTGCAAAATACTGACAGCCTGGAGGTGACCCTGAGCAGACGATTTCTTGCAATTGCTCATCCATCGGGGATAATTGGATAATTGTTCGGGACAAGAAAGGCAAGCTGTAAACAAGCTGGGGCGGGGGGGGGGGGGGGAGTTTATACACTGCAGCTTTCACAGGCTGACAGAATATGGAGGAAGACATTGTGTCACTGTTCCAATACACGTGGAAGCAATGGAACATAACAACTCTTGCAGGTGAAATTGTGCTAAGCTAAAACAAAGATTACCTTGAGGAGCCTGTCAGTGGCTATATACTTCCTTGCCTTCTTAAGCTTCTCTCTCTTATCTTCTTGAGGAGGGTGGCCAAATTTGCTACAGCAGCTGCTAGTTCTGTACCATGGATGATTCGCTGAGTGCCTTGAGAGGCAGAATGCCTCCCCATAGAACCTGGCGTTTTCTCTCTCTGTTAACCGAGTCACGAAAACCGTTCTAATTAGTGCATGCATCATTTGCTCCAATTACTCAAGCAGTTTTAAAGAAACCAATGACAGGACAATGCTGGGAAATTTAATAAAGTAATACCTAATGATAGAATGAAACAGCGGAAGAAGGACTAATGTTAGTCATCTACCACCATACGGAAAGTTTGGCCCATTTTGTTTCTAGGTGGAAGAACAGAGATGTTGCAAGCAAACAATGCCCCTTTGTTCGTCATCTTGGAATAGTTGAGGAGAGCTTTGGATGTTTTTGTGGCTGTGCTTTGGATGTTTTTGTGGCTGTGCTTCCTCACACCAGGGCAAATACTGCATCCTGGTTTTTATAGTGTGAATGCTTCTCACGCCAGCCTGTGCCTTGCACTCTAGGCTGCATCTGATATGGTGGGATATGAATCTTTGGCAGTCGTGTGAAGGTCTCTTCTCGACAGCCATTTCCCATGCCATTCTGGTAAAGCAGGCATGGAGGTGGGAATGGTAGAATCATGCACAAGGACTGTGCTTTGGTGCCTTATAGTGTTGTGGTTCTGCTCATGTTATCGTCTACCCTCTCCTATACACAGGGCTAAATGTGTAGTCCATGTGCATGATATTGTATTTCTCTCTCAGGCATCTGGAGCAAAGCAAATAGCTCCCTGGATGTTATATTTCAGAGAGCGTATTAATTTTCCAGTGTCTCTGGTCTGGTGAACAGAGTGGCATCACCAAGAATGCAAAAATTGATTACTAAAATTTCATACCCTAACCTTAACCTTAACCTTAACCTTAACCTTAACCTTAACCCTAACCCTAACCCTAACCCTAACCCTAAACCTGCCTTATAGTGTTGGGCAGGGGTTGGCAATGTGTGGCCCATGGGCCAGATGCAGCCCATGAAGACCATTTTACCAGCCCATGAGTGGCCCCAAACTTAGCCATCTGCTTGGTGAGTCCACTGCACACTTTGCTAAACCAGCACAGCATGGCATGGGGACTCGCTGAGCAGCACCAGAAATCACTTCTGCACACACGCAGATACCAGAAATCATGACTGTGCATGTCCAGACGCCAAAAATTGTTTCTGCACAGGCAATTTTCGGCATCTGGGCATGCGCAGAAGCGATTTCCTGTGCCGCGGACATGCTCAGACGTGATTTCTGGCATCACGCTGCACCAGTCTGGGCCACGGACTATCTCCATGAGAGTGATCTGGTCCATGGCCAGTAAACCTTGCCGACCCCTGGTGTTGGGGTTCTGCTCATGTTATCTTCTACCCTCTCCCATGGTTTTCCTATTTCTGTGTGACTGGAGCAACATGAGAGAATGGTCGGAAGGAAGTTTCTCTCATACCACTGCTGCTAAATTGTGAGTTCTATGTTACTATTGGATAATTCAGGAGTAGTCAATGTGATGCCCTGCACATCTTGATGGACTACAACTCCCATGATCCCTGACCATTCACCATACTGGCTAGGGAGGATGGGAACTGGAGTCCAACAACATTGGGAGGCCACCACCTTGGGTACCTCTGGTGTAATTTTTTGAGAAACAAAAGGACCTTTAAAGCCCTAAACGGCCTCGGTCCAGTATGCCCGAAGGAGCGTCTCCACCCCATTGTTCTGCCTGGATACTGAGGTCCAGTGCCGAGGGCCTTCTGGCAGTTCCCTTGCTGCGAGAAGCCAAGTTACAGGGAACCAGGCAGAGGGCCTTCTTGGTAGTGGCACCTGCCCTGTGGAACGCCCTCCCATCAGATGTCAAGGAGATAAACAACTACCAGACTTTTAGAAGACATCTGAAGGCAGCCCTGCTTAGGGAAGCTTTTATTGTTTAATGGACTATCGTATTTTAATATTTTGTTGGAAGCTGCCCACAGTGGCTGGGGAAACCCAGCCAGATGGGCAGGGTATAAATAATAAATTATTGTTGTTGTTGTTGTTGTTGTTGTTGTTGTTGTTGTTGTTATTATTATTATTAGGCCTTCCTGGATCCACACAGTTCAGTTGATAGAACATGAGATTCTTAAATTCAGGGTTGTGGGTTCAAGCCCCATGTTAGGAGAAAGATTCCTGCATCGTGGGGGGATTGGACTAGATGATCCTTGGTGTCCCTTCCAACTCTACAAATCTATGATTCCTGATCATGAATACACAATCTCAAGTAACTGAATCAGTTCCAAATGTGAAGCATTCTATATGTCATTTTCACAAATGCACACACACTTCCCCAGCATACTTTAGCCTAGTATATATGCATTTTTGTAGACATAACTTGACTGCAGAACTGCACTACGATATTTGGAGAAGTGTGAATTTTCAAGGGGGGCTGCATTTTGGTTTGTGTACTGTTTTGGAAAGTGTGAATTAGGGATGTTTGCCTCAAATACAAACTGAATCAAATCCATCCCCCATCCCTAGACATTAGGGGATTGTTCCAAAAGCTTCATGGAAAATATTGGATTTGAAGGAATGAAGGGAGGTAGTCTCATGGAGGCGTCTTGGGTAGCAGCAACAGAGCCAGAGCAGGAGAAAGGGTAGATCTGTTAAAGCCACTTCCACCTTCAAAAGGAGGTGGGATTGCGAGTTTCACGCCCCCACCATGCACACAGTGGCTGGCTCTCAGCCTCCGTGCGATTGAGGGAATCCCCGGCCGCATCATCCCCCCGGACAGCCAATTGGCTGGCCCGGGGGGCGTGGCCTGCTCTATTTAATGCAGGCGCGGTTGGGGATCTCCCTCTTTTGCCGCTTCCAGCCAACTGCTCCGGTTTGTTTTTTTCAGCTGCTCCTGTTTTGTTTTTTCCTGCGAGGAGCTTGTGTGCAGATTTTTATTGGTACTGGCTAGGGAGCCTGTGCCTTGTGCCTTTTTCTTTTCCCTTTCCTGCCTTTAGTTCTTGGAGGCATCTGAGTGGCTTTGCTTTGGGGGCTGGCTCCTGCTTCAAGATGTAGATGTAACCAATAAAGTTGTGGCCATATTTCGCCCATTAACCTTAAATAATTGTGTCATGGGGGGAGGCGGGAACTCGCCACGCAAAATCAGTCCACACACCATCATTTTCTCAGCAGGGTATGGAAGTTCATTCAGAAAGGAACCACAACCTTATTTTTTAAAAAAATAATAATTTTTAATTAAAGTTTTAAACAAAGAAAACAGAAAAACAACACACACAAAAAACAATACAGAACTTAACAATGAAAACATAAAACATTACAATTAAAAACAAACTCTCTTTTCCATTTCCAATTTTAAATTACTTATTTTCTGGACTTCCTCATACCTCCCTCTTTTGTATTCCGATCCACATTATTTGTCCAGCAGTTTCTTTTCCACTTTTTTATCCCAATCTTTAATTTAATAAAATGTTAAAATATATAACTTCAACTTTTTTAAACCTAATCCTTACTCTTAATGTCATATAGCTTTAAATTTTTCCCTTTTATTATCAAATTTCCATTTCTTTAGACATCTTTAATCTTAATCTTTAATCTTAATCTATCCTTAACTTTAACCTGTACAGCTGGAAACCACTTATTTTCAATCCAACATCACTCTAACATTCCTTAATTTTGCAGTGTTTCTGAAGATAGTCTTTGAATTTCTTCCAATCTTCCTCCATCGACTCTTCTCCCTGGTCACGGATTCTGCCAGTCATTTCCGCCAATTCCATATAGTCCATAAATTTCATCTGCCATTCCTCCAGCGTGGGAAGTTCTTGTGTCTTCCAATACTTTGCGATAAGTATTCTTGCTGCTGTTGTTGCATACATAAAGAAAGTTCTATCCTTTTTTAACACCATTTGGCCCACTATGCCCAGGAGAAAGGCCTCTGGTTTCTTGGGGAAGGTATACTTAAATACCTTTTTTAATTCATTATATATCATTTCCCAGAAAGCCTTAATCTTTGGGCACGTCCACCAAAGGTGAAAAAATGTACCTTCAGTTTCTTTACATTTCCAACATTTGTTATCGGGCAAGTGATAGATTTTCGCAAGCTTGACTGGGGTTATGTACCACCTGTATATCATTTTCATAATATTCTCTCTTAAGGCATTACATGCCGTAAATTTCATACCTGTGGTCCATAACTGTTCCCAGTCAGCAAACATGATATTATGTCCAATGTCCTGTGCCCATTTAATCATAGCCGATTTTACCGTTTCATCCTGAGTATTCCATTTCAGCAGCAAGTTATACATTCTTGACAAATTCTTAGTTTTGGGTTCTAACAATTCTATTTCTAATTTGGATCTTTCCACCTGGAAGCCAATTTTCCTGTCCAATTTAAATGCCTCCATTATCTGATAATAATGAAGCCAGTCTCGCACTTTGTTTTTTAGTTTTTCAAAACTCTGCAATTTCAGTCTATCTCCGTTGTGGCCATATTTCGCCCATTAACCTTAAATAATTGTGTCATGGGGGGAGGCGGGAACTCGCCACGCAAAATCAGTCCACACACCATCATTTTCTCAGCAGGGTATGGAAGTTCATTCAGAAAGGAACCATAACCTTAGGCTTGGGCTCCACTTTCTGCAAACTTTGGGAGCAACTTAAGCCACATAGCTGCATCCTAGATGCTTATGGATTTAAACAAATGTTTAGCATGCTTCCAGCTGAAAGATGGTAAGATATGATGACTTGTTTGTGGACTGCTTAGACCAGGGGTTAGCAACCTGCAGCCCATGGGCCACAAGGGGAGCATGGGGGTCATTTAAATGGCCCACAAGCCGCTCTGAACCGAGCCACCCACTCGGCAAGTCCCATGTGCTGTGCTAAACCAACGCAGCACGGAGTGGGGACTAGCTTCCGCGGTGCTGGAAATTGCATCTGCATAGATGCGATCCAGCCCACGGAGTGATCTCCATGGGAGTGAACCGACCCAGGCGAGGTAAACTTTGCTGACCCCTGGCTTAGACTTTGCAGCACCCCTGCCTAGGTTGTGAATAACAATGAATATTGCCAAAAGCTGAATTTCCTCCCTTCCACTCGTGCCCTGTCATTAATTTTGCATTGGCCTTTCTTTTAAAAGCAACAATATCCTGCAGTAAACAACGGCTTCATAAGCCTTGCTTTATTGATATTATTTCTTGTATCGTCTAGCAGACTGTCTGGCGGGTGTTTTTCCCCCTTGCAAAATCTCCTGGAAAGTTTTTTTTAAATAAAATAAAATAAAAAGGTCACATTTTGAATACCATTCTTCTTTTCCTTTCCTGCTCCACTCCACTGCCCCCCCCCCCTTCTGAGCCTGGAAGAAGAAACCAAATGTGAAAAAGTTTGTTTCTGTTTGCTATGGAAACTCCATGCTGTGATTCAATATGACAAGTCCTGAACCTGAGTTGACTGGCTTGGGCTGTTCACTTAATGCCCCAATGAAATGGTCGGAGTAAGTCAGGTGTGGAGTGGCTCCCACAGGGCCCTATTATAACTCTTTGCTCTCCACCATCATCTCCCTTGGTGCACAAGTGTGCTGCTGCTGCAGTACATAGAGACAGCTCATGGCCATTTCTGCAATTATGGTTGGAATTATGTCCCAACACAGAGGCTATGGGGAAAGCTTTGGATGGGCTCATGCCGACCCCAGCGCATGCTAATGGTTTCCCATGCAGGTGTGGGTGCCGATGTTGCTCAGAATAAGCTGTTGCTGCTCACACATGAGGTCTGTTGATTATGTGCCCTGACTCCGAACTTGAACAGTTTTGAAAGTAAGAAATGGAGCTGAAATAAACACTACCTCCCTGACCAAAAAAATTATCTCTGCAATCCTACTCTACTTACAAAAATGTTCAACTGCCACAAGGTACATTTCTGTCAGGAGTCCAGGTTCTCACTTGATAACACAGCAAGCGTAATTAATTAAAAAGGATGATTTATTGTCAAAACAAACAGATAGCTCAGGACGGCTATAACACAGCCTCCAACATCATCAATCAAGATGACCCTTCTGAAGAGTCCTTTCATTTTCAACAGACTATATTGAACCGTCATCCTCTGTGCCTCTGGTTTTGCTTCCGATCTAGCAGCCCTCTCATTCGATGACTACTTGGGGAGATTGAACTAGCCCCAACCTCTTCCTGCTCTGACGTACTATCTCTGTGTTTTTCATGCCTAATTGAGCTCCTGGAGAGCTTTGGCTAGGCTCCTGCCCGCTTTCAGTCATTCCCTTATCAGCTTGCATTCCAAGGGCCAGGGGAGTCGGCGCTAACCAATGTTCCTCCTGCATGACAGTTAACTCTCTCTGTTCCTGTCTGCTTTCTTCAGCTGGCTGCAAATCTTCACTGGGAGCTGTCTCATTCATGACAATTTTGGGAAAAGAAAAGAAACTATGATGGATGGGAGTGTTGGGCCCTGACTGCAGCCATTATGAGCTAGGCAAAACTTTGGAGGAGTTTTGACTTGGCTAGTAGTTTCAAAAGTGGTCCCTACCACAGAAGAATGGCAAATTAAACTGTTGGGCTATGATGAAATGGCAAAACTGACTGGAAAGCTCAGGAACCAAGAAGACCAAAACTTTAACAAAGAATGGGGAAAATTTATAATTTATCTTGGAGACCACTGTAAGCAGACAAAAACATTAGCAGGATTGCAGTAACACTTGTAATGTAGCAAGTACTATGGAGATAATGAATTTATATAAAATATGGATTATTGAAAAAGATGCAGTAGAAAAGGTTTAATAATAGGACCCATGGAGGGGAAAGTCCAGAGATTTGGAGGAATCTCCAAATGTGTATGGTGTTATTGTTATAATTTTATACTTTTAAAATCAAATAAAATTATTTTTTAAAAAAAGTAGTTTCAAAAATGTTATGTTCCCTAAAGGGGACATCTGTTTGGCCCCTGTGAGAACAGGATTCTGAACTAGATGGGTCTGTCTTATCCAGCAGGCAATTCTTCTTTTGTTTTTTTGCATGGAGATACTAAAGGTGCCCCAAGAATGATTACTCATTTTATCTATTCAGTCAGTCATTACATTGTTGATTAAAAATATGTGCTGATTTTTATTTATTTATTTGTAAAAGCACAAACTGATCCAGGTTTTTTGTTTTTGTTTTGGTGAGGACTGTTCCT